CCCGATGCGGGACTCGATCCCGGGACTCCAGGATCATGACCTGAGCCGAAGGCAGTCGCTTAACCAACTGAGCCACCCAGGCGCCCTCTTACCTGTCTTCTGTCACCTCTTGTTTCTTTTACTGTGGGTCTCTATCCCTTACCTGTGTTCTGTGTCCTCTAAGTTCTGTTACTTTGAGTCTCTAACTCTTACCTCACATCTCTCTCCTCTTAGTCCTGTTACTCTGGGTCTCTATCTCTTACCTGCCATCTGTCTCCTCTAGGTTCTGTTACTGGGGGTGTTTATCACCTACCTGTCTTCTGTCTCCTCTTGGATCTGTTATTGTGGGTGTCTATCTCTTTCCTGTGTTCTGTCTTCTCTAGGTACTGAGATGGTGGGTCTCTATTTCTTACTTGTCTTTTCTCATCTAGGTACAGTTACTGGGGGTCTCTATCCCTTACTGCCCATTTCTCTCCTCTTGGTTCGTTTACTGTGGATCTCTATCTCTTAGCTATCTTCTTCACCTCCAGATTCTTTTATTATGGGTCTATGTCTCTTATTTGAAATCTGTCTCCTATTGGTTATATTACTGTGGGTCTCTATCTCTTACCTGTCTTCTGTCACTTCTAGGTTTTTTTTACTCTGGGTCTGTATCTCTTACCTTCCATCTCTCTCCTCTAGGTTGTGTTACTGTGGGTCTCCATCTCTTACCTGTCATCTTTCTCCTCTATATTCTGTTATTGTGGGTCTCTCTCTCTTACCTGTCTTCTGTTTCCTCTAGGTTTTGTTACAATGGGTCTTTATCTCCTACCTCCAACCTGTCTCCTCTAGTTTCTGTTACTGTGGGTCTCTGTCTCTTATCTGAAATCTGTTTCCTATTGGTTCTGTTACTGTAGGTCTCTATCTCTTACCTGTCTTTGGTCACTTCTAGGTTTTTTTACTCTGGGTCTGTATCTCTTACCTTCCATCTGTCTCCTCTAGGTTCTGTTACTGTGGGTCTCCATCTCTTACCTCTCATCTGTCTCCTCTGGGTTCTGTGACTGTGGGTCTTTATCTCCTACCTGTCTTATGTCTCCTCCTGGACCTGTTACTGTGGGTCTCTATCTCTTTCCTGTGTTCTTTCTTCTCTAGGTTCTGTTACTGTGGGTTTCTATTCTTACCTGTCTTCTGGCTGTTCTTGTTTCTGTTAATGTGGGTCTCTATCTCTTACCTCCAATCTCTCTTGTCTTGGTTATGTTACTGTGGGTCTCACTCTTACTTGTGTTTTTTTCTCCTGTAGGTTCTGTAACCTTGGGTCTCTATCTCTTACCTGTCATCTGTATCCTCTTGGTTCTGTCACAGTGGGTCTTTATCTCTTACCTGTCTTCTTCTCCTCTAAGTTCTGTTACTGTGGGTCTCTATCTCTTACTTGTGTTCTGTCTCCTCCTGTGTTCTGTCTCCTCCTGGTTCTGTTAATCTGGGTCTCTATCTCTCACCTCCCACCTGTCTCCTCCTGGTTCTGTTACTCTGGGTCTCTATCTCTCACCTCCCACCTGTCTCCTCCTAATTCTGTTACTCTGGGTCTCTATGTCTTAGCTCTCATCTGTCTTCTCTTGGTTCCATGTGGTAGGACAATATTGGAGGGTCCCAGGTGGGAGCCTTAGGGCCTGGTGGGAGGTAGTTCTCAGAGATTGGGCATTCTAGCCTGGAGGGTGATGGCATAGTTGTGCCAGTGCCTGGTGCTCCACAAGGAGGGCATGGGGTCCCCCTGTTGTGGGAGCTCCTGGCATTCCCATGTGGGGTGGGTGGGTGGGATGGGGGCTGATCATTGGTCCAGGGGATGGGACTGGGGGTAGCCCTGGGACTGAGCGGAAGAGGGGCCTGGGCAGGCTGCATGGCCCATTGGCAGATTGGCTTCTAGGTAGATGTGTAGGGTGAAGGGGATGGAGGGTGTGGAGTGATCCTGAGGATGGTAGCCTGGA